TTATTTATTTGAGAGAGAGAGAATGAGAGAGAGAGAGAGCATGAGGGGGGGAGGGTCAGAGGGAGAAGCAGACTCCTCGCTGAGCAAGGAGCCCAATGCAGGACTCGATCCCGGGACTCCAGGATCATGATCTGAGCCGAAGGCTTAACCAACTGAGCCATCCAGGCGCCCTGCATTTTTATATTTTAAATAAATGGGTACAAATCGCACTGACACTCATCATTTGGAAAAATTTCAGATGGGTTAAAAAGTTTATCTCCTGTGTGTATATATATATATATATGAGTTTTTCTAGATGATGCATATCATTTTGGCCAGAAAATCTAATAATGATGCCAACATTTCCAAACTTCCCTTTTCAAAATGCTCTCTTCCCAACAGGACTATTTTGCAAAAAGCAGTTATTTCTCACTTGTAATATCATCTTTACTTTGAAAGGATAGATTGCATTCATTTTTTTTCATGTGTATCTGCTATGTGGAAATGACTGGCAGCCATTTGCATCACTACAAAGGTCACTAAATTTAGGACACTTGTCTTTTTGTAAAAGAAAAATTTGGTTTCACAACCCTTTAAATTATTGTATGAGATATGGTACAACATTTTCAAGTTCATTCCCTCTCCCTTTCATCACAAATTGTATTATTTAAAGCCCTGTTTCTATAAAATTCATCACGACAATGACACTCTATAGCATGTGATCTGCATTATGTCATGGTAGACTAAAGAAAAAGAAAGGATGGGGCTGCTTCCTTTGTGGTGTGCCAACCTTTCTTTTAGTCAACCTTGGAATCATACCCAGTATGTCACCCACATCACGAATGAAGGCTATTTATAAGGACCAGTAAAGTTTCTTTGTTACATTTTTAGATGAAAATGAACAGAAAGTTCTAATATTGTTTTCCTACACCCCAAATGGATCATTGTGCATCTTTAGCTCTTTAGTCCTCAGTTCTCCAGAACATTCACTTTGGCACCATCCCCAGGGGCTGCGTCTCCTGGGGGCCCCATGCTCCAAAGCTGCTTCTCACTCCATCCTCTTCCCTTTCCCTCCATCCTACATGAAATGGTCTAAATCAGTAGTAGTGGCACCTGCTGACAAAGCAGTCTTGTTAAAATATAGCAAAGCCTCAGGATTTGGGGATTTGTGACTCCATTTTTAATATTCATTTTGCAAGCTGTGCCTTCCTCCTTAAGTACTTGATTCCTGCACTTTACAGATATGTTTAACCTTGAGCACATGTTCTAGTTCAGTGAGACTGCCTGGATTTTTGTAGTCTGCCCCTTTAGCTGGCTCCCCAGCCTTCCACATTTTCAAATCTGCTCCAAATACTTCTCTGCATTAAAAATTCCAAATATATGGAACTTCTTCAGGTTGTTTTTTCCTTTATTCCCAGGGGGTCAAATAATCTGGCTCCTGATGCCCGAGTCCATCTTGAGCTCTCACTGCCTGGGTCTCTTTTTGTAAACTGTATAGCATAATACCTTGTGCACAATGCAGGAGCATGCCTTTCCCACTCACTCTGGAATCTCTCTGGTTAAGGGGAAATTATTTTGCACGGTTAACATTTAACAAGAAGCTATCATCTTAAGAACTTTGCCCACTTTTCTTGAAAAAACTTAGGTTAAGAGTATGTCGCTTTTTTGTTTTTTCATTCATGGGATGTCTAAGAAGTAATAATGCAGGGAATCCAGTAATCTATTCTAAAATATAGGCTACATCAAATCAATCAAATATAAATGAGCAAATCCGTAATTAAAATACTAAAACGCATGCCCTCCTCAACAATCGGGAAGTATTAAAAGGGTGTAAGCCTCCCTCTCAGGATATCTCCACTTGCCTAAACGTCCCCCTGCCTACATGCCCTTACCTGGACAGCCTCACCACACCCTCGCTCACTTCTTCCTGGTCTCTGCTGAGGCGTCATCTCCTCAAAGTAGCTTCCTGACTCCTCGGTCCCGTCGTTCTCCATCCCCTTACCCCACCTTACTCTTCTTCCCGGCACTGATTACTCTCAAGCATTGCTTGTGTGTTCTCTGTCTGCCACACCAGAATGTGGCTCTGTGAAGGCAGGCACTTAGTTTTTCCCTGTTGTGTCCCCACCTCTTAGAACAGGGCTGGCCTGACCCAATATAGGCTTTCAGTGAATACTGTTGAAAGGGTGAGCGAATGTCCACTAAGGAGAAGTTACAGGAGGGCTACAAGAGAAATGCAGGCTTCCTTCCATGTGATAACATGAAGCCTACCTAGAAAGTCTAGTTCAGGGAGGGGAGAAGAGCCAGGAGCGTTGGCGGCTTCTCAGACCCCTCTCTCCAGGTAGGAGGAAGCGAGTTGAAGGACAACTGTGGAAACAACAGTCAGTTGCCTGTAAGGGCTCTGAAAAGACCCTGAGGGAGGACCAGGTGCCCGCACCTCCCGCTCAGACTGAGGGACGAGGGGACTGGAGGGAAAGGAGACAGGGGAAAGGAGCTGGGCTTAGTGTGACTTTTCGAGAAGCCTCCATCCAGTCGGTGGGGTCTGACTATGAGACTACCAGAACACTGGGCCCAACTGGGCTTACATGTGGGCTGCACTCTCCCCCAGTCTCAACAGGAAACAGGCAGCCCTTTCAGTGCTTGGGACCCCCAAACCTAGAGCAGGTTCGAGATTCAGAAGTCCCTAAAAAGCAGGGTTCCCTCTTGTGTCAGCAGAGGAAAACTAGAGACAGAAAGGAATGACGAGCAGCAGCTAACACTGCCCAACTCTTTCTCCAAAAGAAATTTGTGCCAACAGTCACAAAAACTTCCTCTCCCATCCTTAGCTGACTTCAGAGATCACTGGGATGGCATACTGGTATGAGAGCAGTGCCAACCCCTTCATTTACCTGAGCAACTTTCCATTTCAGCCCAGTTACTGTGTAGCACGGGAATAATTATGTGTATCATTAAATACGTCCAATTGACTCGGCTGTGTGTCTATTTGGCACAACACGAAAGCAGGGTCCCATGTTCCCAGCCCTCGTGGTCCTCAGCCTCACGAAGCCAACCTGTCGACTCACAGTGAGGAATTAAAATCATACATAAAAACAAAAGGACCACAAAACCCAGGTGAGGGGAGTTTAGGGAAAGGTCTCCGGCTATGTTTGAGATCAGCCAGCCAGGATCCTTCCACAAAAAATGCTAACATTTGCTAAACATTTACCATGTGTTTAATAACTTTACACATATTAACTCAACCTTCGTCACAACCCTACTGGGTAGGTGCTGTTGATATTCCCGAAGCAAGATGTAAGTAAGGTGGGCACCTGGGTGGCTCAGTTGGTTAAGCCACTGCCTTCGGCTCAAGTCATGATCCTGGAGTCCCTGGATCGAGTCCCACATCCGGCTTCCTGCTCGGCAGGGAGTCTGCTTCGTCCTCTGACCCTATCCCCTCTCGTCTGTGCTCTCTCTCTCAAATAAATAAATAAAATCTTAAAAAAAAAAAAAAAAGATGTAAGTAAGGAAACAAGTAATTGGCCGCAAGTCGGCTGGGTAGAAAATGGCAGAGCCAGGGCTGAATCCAGAAGCCACACGTCCAAGATAAAGACATTATAAATGTTGATCCTGTCCTAGAAGTACACCAACTAAATTGTAACTGCACCTTCCACCACTATTGAAAGGAAACTCACTCTAAAGAGCTCGAAGTAGGGAGTTGTAAGGGGAAGAAAAGTGATTGCACTGGTGCACAGTTCAGTGTGTGGGATGGTTTCGAGGTGCTTTTCTTACTGCGTGCCAGGTAGATCCAGCAGTGAGCTCGGATTTTTCCAGGAGGACCACATCTTTCATCCCCGCTTTGGCGAGGTGATAAGCCAGACTCACACCAACGCAGCCGCCTCCAATGATCACAGTTTCTGCTCTGTCTTTCCATCTTGTTTCTGCAGATAAGGGTGGGTTTTCTTCTCTGGAAGACAATTTTTGTTAACGGTAGTTTTACTAAGCTGTGGTAGCTATAGTTTTTCTGACTAATGTGTTTCTCCTGGTTTCTGTAATATCTTAACAGTGCCTGGGAGGTTGGCATAGTGCTGCTTTAATCATTTGGGGCATCTAAACCCTGACTGATGCAACCTGGTTAGGGAAGGGAGGAGGAGGCATGTGAGCCCTAGTCCATATAATTCTGGTCCATTGTAGATAACTAACAGAACTAAAGAATTGAACATGACTTCTTTTTTTTTTAATTTCCAAAGGATCTAGAGAATAATTTTTCTCAGTCTACTTAAAGAACACACTTATTTTATCCCATGGAAAACCATAATCATCGTGAAGTCTAGCTTCTATAAACCTTGGATCATCCCCTCCATCCAACGCGTCCCAGGCTGAAGAGAGCCAGATGGAGTAAAATGCATTTCCTCACTTAATTTCCTCACCGCATAGTCTTCTCTCATTTTATAATTATTGCTCAGTGGTTTAATATATTTATTTGCATGACTTTCTTCCTAGCTGGATCGTGAGCTTCTCCAGGATGCATCGTAAAAAGCAAGATGTCAGCAAGGCAAAGAGGAACATACATACACCCCTGTTTGCTTACACACAGACAATCTCGGGGAAAAATACAGAAGACACTGTTAACACTTGACTGGGGAAAAATACGGGGGTAGGAATGGCTTCGCACTGGGAGCCCTCTGACACTATTTCACTTTGTACGTGCGTGCATGTGAAAAAACACACAGAAATCTAGAAGAAATCCAAATGCCCATCTCTCGGAGGCCAAAGTGCCCCTGGCCCGGCACACCGCCTCAGGCCCTGGCTCCCGTCCCGGCAGCCGCCCAGCCGTAAGCCTCTGCGCGGGCCGGACCCCACTTACCCTTGGCGGCCGCAGGCTGAGCGCGGGCGGCCCGGGGAGCCCCGCAGCGGGAGGCTCGGCGGCGGAAGGCCCCGCAGCCGCTGTGCGCCCGCGCGGAGCATGGCCAGGCCTGGGAGGCCGAGGGCGCGGGCGCGGGCGCGGGCACCTGCTCCGGGCCAGCCCACGCCCTGGGGCGGCGGGGCAGGCGGCTCCGCGGAGCGGGGGACCCTCCCCCGGGCGAGGGGCGGGCTCGAGGGCTGGCGCGCTCTCCCGGACCGGCGCCCACACGGTCGCGGCGCGATGGCACAGGTCGGAGGCCCCGGGGCCAAAAAGGTGAGTTTCCGCGCGTCCGCGAGGTATTTAGCCCCGCGGGCCGCGGGGCTCCCAGGGCCTGGAGTTCAAACCCCACTTCAGCCGTTGGCCGAGCTCTGCGGCCTCGGCCGGGCACCCGGACGGCTCTGCGCCTCGGTTTCCGCGGCCGCCAGGGCCCCGGGATGACAATACCACCTTGGCGACAGGGTTAGATAACAATCTCGGGTAACATTTATGGAGCCCTGACCCAGTGCCCCGAGCTGCGCAGACTGCTTTACGCAAATTATCTCATTTTCATGATTATTCCCACTTTTCAGGTGAGGAAGCTGAGGCCCAGAGAGTCAGGCAACTAGCTCAAGGTCACCCATTCTAGGCCACGGTGAAGCGGGGATTTGAAGTCTAGCTTCGGATTCCGGGGCCATGCTCACATTTCTACCGTTAACCCACAGACGCCGTCAGGTCTTCGGCTCAACTGGCCCCAGAGCTCGGTTCCCTCAGGTTTGGGGAAGAGGGGCAGCCTGGCCCTGCAAGCGGTGGGCTGGCCTGAAACCAGCCCTGGGTGCAGACCCTCCCCGACCCGAGGCTGTGGAGAAGGGGTGGATAGGGGAGTGCGCAGGACTGAGGGGTGCGCAGGGTGGGGTGGAGCGGCTCAGCCTCCTCTCATCAGTCAGACAGGTCTCCCTGGCTCCTTCTCTAAGCTTCGTTCCCTATCTACTCACCAACTGTGAGCCTTGTCACCCCCCTCCCCCGCCCCGTTTCTCTGCTGGGTGTGTGCTTGTGAGGAGAAGGGGTGACAAAACAAAATTAGGAAAGGCATGAACTTGGTCGCAGGACATCTCCAGGATCCCTCAAAGCAACCCACCTGTGCCCCGAAATTCAGAGAGGGTGGGGAAGGGAGATGCTATATAGACATGGAAATGTGCACCACTGATCTATTTATACTAAAAAGTTAGGAACAACCAAGATGCCCAACGGTGGTGGGCTCCTTAAATAAAGGTACACCCACTTAATAAGTTATTAGGCACCGATTAAGAAGCTAAGTATGGGACAAGCAAACTGCTTTGGCAATGTTACCTTATAAAAGGAGTTATACTATGTCATGGACAGATCTCAGCTATGTAAAAATATTTATATATGCAGTGTAAGGAAGGAAATAATAACAGTAATAATTACATAAGATGTACAATATGGATTTAACAACAAAAAAATCTTTGGATATGTCTTTCTGATTATAAGAGTAAAATATGGGCATTGAAGAAAATGAGCTTAATAAAAACATAAAGCCACTGTGCTGATTTCTTCCTCTAAACTTTCTGTAATACTGTGTTCACCGTTAGCTCATTTTTAAAAAGGTTTTTAAAATAGGCTGTCCCTGTCCAGTTTCTTCCCAGCAGCCTCTGCTCTTGCAACACCAAGATTATCATATGATAACCCATGCTAATGTGTACCTGAGAGTTAAAATGTTAGTGGGAAACAGCTAATCTCACCTCTCCTGCCAGCTAACAGGTACATCTTAAGAATTCATTGAATTGCCGCAGGGGATAACTCCAGTAGCCTCATAAATCCACAAGGGCAGTCCTGGCGGCAGCTTCAGGCAGAATGGATGTCTGGCAGACTCCGGCCAGAGGGTGAAGTTGGTCTGCGCCTCTGTGTATGAGTAGAGGCGCCCGGAAGCCAGACCTTAAATCCAGAAGTCTAGATACTGAGATCTGCAAAAAGGAGCATAAATGACTCTCGGAGCTCACTACCAGCTCCAAGGCAGATTCACTGCCACACTGAAAGGGAGAATGGAATGAAAATATAAATGTACTGCAAATTAATTTACAGTGATCTGTATTTTCCAGTTCTCTCTCATCCTAGAGCTGTCTTTAGATCATCCTGGGGTAGTAATTAATTGAGGTGGTAAGTAAAGCAGTGAAGGAGGGGCTGATAAATGCTCTGAATTCAAATCCTGATGATGGAGTTATTTTGCTAAGGTCTGTTTGGGAAAATTGGCAAAATTTAAAATTTTGGACAAACATCTAGGTAACAGATCAAAATGTCTTAACTTTACTTGCTATCATGAAGATACAATCAAAATAAGCCCTATAATTTTCTTAAAACCCTAGCTACTAGCTAAAGAGTCATTTGTCACCTGAGCCTCAAGCATTGTAAAGCCAAACAGAGGAGACAAGCAGGTAACCAGATAGCTCAGTACAAGTGACAGATGCAGGAATGGACGGTGTTTGGCCTTAGGCAGAATACAAAGGAGGATGTAATCCCAAACAAGAGTGGGTCAGGCAAGACTTCACTCTGCGGCAATGGAAGATATGCCGGGGTGGGCTGGGCGAACTGGAGGCCATTTCAACAATCCAGGGGCAGTGAGGAAGGGTGGGGGACATTCCTGAGAAGTGTTAAAAGATACACTTGTCATAACCCTGGGACAGATTGGATGTAGGAGGTGAGATACTATCCTATAACACCCCGACTGTATGCCAGTGTTTTTCCCCTCTAAAACTAAATCTGATTCTTAACATGGTTGAGTTAATTGAAGTGCTAGATTTTCAAGACAACATTTTATGCAAATGACTATACCTCTGATTCTCTCTTCTATAGTCCTCTGCAGCATTTATTTATCACATGTGTTGTGATGACTTGTTGACCCACCGGCCTTCTCCAAGGTGGCCAGACTTTGGGTTTCTTGAGGGCAGGGACCTCGTCTTATTCCAATGTTTATCCCTCTTGCCTAGAACTGTACCTGGCAGGTGGAAAGGTCTCGTGAGAGTTTAAAGTTGAAGTCCTTTTTATGTTTCAAAAGTACAAAATTAAAAGGGCAAATTGCATTGTATGGAGGGAATAGAGGAAAAGGTGAGAATCATAATATATATTAACATTTCTTCTACATTCAGCTAAAATTCATTTTTAGATATAAAGTACGGAAAAATAACAAGAGTCGGGAGCCCTCTTGGTCAAAACAGTGTCTATGGCTAACCCAGCTAACACAGCTGGTCTCCATTCCACTTCCAAATACCAGAGACGTTGTAGATACGGTGCCCTCCAGTACAAGCCCTTCTAATGTACCTTCCTGGACTGCAGACTGGTTAGAAGGAGCAACTAGATGCTTTTCTCCCCCACTCATGCATTGCTCTGTGTCCAGCTGTGGACAGCGCTGAAATGAACTGGCCTTGATTTTCAATAAAAGGTTATGTCTTTAACTAAGGCCATCTATAAAAGAGGAATGGGGATTGCCATGGGAGTGTTTCCAGTTTCTTCTTTTTTTTTTTAAGATTTTCTTTATTTAACAGAGAGAAAGAGCACAAGCAGGGGGAGTGGCAGGCAGAGGCAGAGAGAGAAGCAGGCTCCCCGCTGAGAGGGAGCCTGATGTGGGACTCGATCCCAGGACCCTGGGATCATGACCTGAGCCGAAGGCAGTCGCTTAACCAACTGAGCCACCCAGGCGCCCGCAGTTTCTTTATAGGACGGTCAGCAAAGCTCTCCGTGAAAAGATGACCCTTGACCAAAGTCCTGAAGGAAGTGAGAGGGTGACCCAAGCAGGTATGCAGGGGTAGGCATGTTTTAGACAATGGAAACCGTAAGTCCTTGGAGAACTGCTCTGGATACAACCTTTTATTCAAGTATGGCTGGGCTGAATAGAGAAGTGGGACTAGAAAGAGACTAGTTTAGGAATTTAGAAGATCTGAAGTCTGCTTGTTTACTTACTTAGCTCTGTGATGTTGGACAAGTCACTTAGCCTCTCTGAACGTCCGTTTCCTCATTTATAAGATGGGAATAAAAACCGTCCACCCTGCCTAGCTTACAGAGTTGTCCGGAGTACCAAATGAAAACATGCATGTGAATATGTGAACGTGAACATCTGGAAAATCTAGGGCATCATTATGAAACTGTGTGTCCTTTAGGATTGTGTATAGTGGTTTACACAAAAAAGAGGCTATTTTTTTTTTCACTTAACATGAAGTCTTGCAATCCATGGCTGCTACAACTACTCAAAGTTGTTATTAAAACACACGCACACACACACACACACACACACACACACACACCCCGCTGCTAGTTACACCAGCTGTTAGTCAGCTTTCAGTCCTGATTGCTATACCTCCAGGACTTATGGTGACATTCCAGAGAGGAAGGAGAAAAAAAATGCCCAGATGGAAGGGAGTGCCCATCTATATCAGGAAAGCAGAACTTTTCCGGAAATCTTTAACTGACTTCCACCTATGTCTCATTGGCCAGCACCGTGTCATATGGCCACCCCCAGGAGCAAGGGAGCCCAAGGATTTGTTTTAACTTGGGGACATTGTCTCCCGAAATGAAATACATTAACAACTATCATGGCATCAGCACTTTCACTATAATTTGACTCAGATTAAATGTTATTTGAGAAAAAATATTCACAGCACTTTGCACAAAATGAATACCTGGAGTGTCCAAGAAGTAGAATATACTCAATCTTTCTGAAATATTATTAGACTTTGAGGATTTTAACAGAACTGGAGCTATAAGAACATAATACCACCTTTCCTAAAATTGGAAACTGCTTTTAGAAAAAAAAGAAAGGGCGCCTGGGTGGCTCAGATGGTTAAGCGTCTGCCTTCGGCTCAGGTCACGATCCCAGGGTCCTGGGATCGAGTCCCGCATCGGGCTCTCTGCTCCTTGGGAGCCTGCTTCTCCCTCTGCCTCTCTCTCTCTGTCTCTCATGAATAAATAAATAAAATCTTTAAAAAAAAAAAAGAAAAAGAGGTATGTAACCTAGGTGAGTTTTCTTTCTCTCCTTCAGGGTATTTTGGAACGTCTGGATAGTGGAGAGGTTGTGGTTGGAGATGGCAGCTTTCTCATAACTCTGGAGAAGAGGGGCTACGTGAAGGCTGGGCTCTGGACTCCGGAAGCAGTGGTAGACCATCCCGATGCAGGTCAGTGGCAGCATCCCCCGAGACTGTTTAGTTTAGAGGATGACAGTTTGCTCAAATCTGACTGACAGAAGATAAATAAATAATTCTGAGTATTGTGCAAGGACTGTTTCACTTGCCAGAGCCGCCAAGATGTAGAAACAGTGACAGTACATAGGCTGAAGCATGTAGAAGAAAATGGCCTCTCCCTCCCCAACTGCCCCCACTCCACACACACACACTTGCATCTTCAGGTACAGGGAGTGCTAAAACACACATCTTAATATCTGTTCCATGAATATTCACCCTGTGGATATTCAAGAGTTTCCTTAACATAGTAAAACTGTTACTGCTTCACTTTAATCCTTCTGGCTAATTTGCATATTATACTATAACAGCGTATTTGGTAAAGAGGATTAATGATAACCGCCAGATTAACACAGCATACATGGTAGACATTTGGGTTTTGTTGGGCACAAGGGGTGTGAAGAAATCAACACAGTTTCACCTCATCCCCTGCACTAGAAAAAAAAAAAACAATAAAAGTTGGAGGTAAAAACTGTGATGGGATTGGCAAGTAACATCAAACTGGACCTTTAATTCTATTTTTACACTTTTTTGAGAGTAGTCTCCTAAATTAAAGTGGAAAATAGGGGCGCCTGGGTGGCTCAGTTGTTAAGCATCTGCCTTCGGCTCAGGTCGTGATCCCGGAGTCCTGGGATCGAGCCCTGCATCGGGCTTCCTGCTCCGAGGGAAGCCTGCTTCTCCTTCTCCCACTCCCCCTGCTTGTGTTCCTGTTCTTGCTATCTCTCTCTGTCAAATAAAGAAACAAAATCTTTAAAAAAAAAAAAAAAAAAGAAAGAAAGAAAAGAAAGCGAAAGAATGAAAGGATACAAGCTGGGAATGGAACTTTGGATTTGCTCTGATTGTATTCATATATGCACCAGGTATCTGAGAAACCTGGGACCCTGTCTTGATTCTTCCACCCACCAGCTGTGTGACTTTGCACAAGTCATTTGACTTTCCCAAGGATCAGTTTCTTTTTTTTTTTTTTAAGATTTATTTATTTTTGAGCATGAGTGTGAGTGGGGGGAGGAGGAGAGAGAGAAGGACAAGCAGACTCTGCGCTGAGTGTGGAGCCCAACGCGGGACTCCATCTCACAACCTTGAGATCATGACCTGAGCCAAAACCAAGAGTCGGTTGCTCGACCGATGGAGCCACCCAGGCGCCCCAGGCTCAGGTTCTCGACCCATGTCACAGGAGGGTATGACATGGGCTAGTTGTGAGGACTCGTGAGTTAACCCACATGAAAATCCCAACACATCATACACACTGGCCAATTTTATTGCTTCATCAGACACTCAGACTTATATGGAAGGACCAAGTTTTGTTTCTCTGGTGCTTAGCACCAAGTTTTCATCTGGCCCACAGAGAACTTGTTCTTGTCTTTAATTTTAGAAGATCTTTTTGCTAAACCAGAAAGAAAGTGTTGAAATAGCAAGGATGAGGATTGGGGTTGGGGAGAGATGAAGAGAGAGGAGGGAAGGATGTCCTGATAGGCCCACGGATGCTCCCTGACTGCGTCCCCCCAGCTGCCTGCTGTTGAATCTGTTTGGTGGGGGCACCACCCACACACACTTTGTCCACTGTGAGAATTTCCTCATGTAAGGATTTCCTGACTGTAAGTAGACCAGCCACATCCTCCACAACACAGGCAAATGAATAAACCTTCTCTAGACCAAAAGACCAAGGGGCAAGTGGTCAGCGAGACCTTAGCATGTGCCTATGACTGCACCAGACCATTGAGGCCATGGACAGGACAATATGGGGACACTCGAAACAGTCCCAATTTAGTATTGACTCTGCCATGTCCTGTCCTGGAACTCTACTGACCTTAATCTGCAATTTTTTATGAGAACTAGGTTTGAAATTGTGTCTGATTGAAAGAGATTGTGAGTGGGTAAGCTGCTTTTGCTGCAAATGATAGCTCCTATGATTTTTATCTTTTTAATTTTTATTTAAAAAACTACTTTGTAGTTCGTCAACTTCACATAGAATTCTTGAGAGCAGGATCAAATGTCATGCAGACTTTCACCTTTGCTGCCAGTGAGGACAATATGGAAAGCAAGGTAAACTGTCATTTTGGTGGGGGTGGGGGTGGAGGGAGGGCAGGGGGAGTGTCAGGGATCATCTATAATAAAAATAACCTCTTGAAGGGAAGGTATGGAATTGACCTGATATGTTACTATACTTTGTTACAAACTCCACATAAAATGTGTATTAAGGAATTAATTATTATGTAAACAAATATATACTACATAAATGAGCTTGTTTCTGCCTCCTGAGCTGGGGTAGAGGGGAAGAGAGGACTGGGAAGGAATAGGCCATTGGAAGGACATGGTCATCCTGTGCTATTTTTTTATAGAGAAAGAACACTTTTTAGATGCCCTTTTCACCTTATCTCACCATCTTCTCTTCTAACTTGTCCATCTGGAGATAGGGTGGTCCTTGGGAACACATCACTGGCCTGGGAATGAGAAGAATTGGGTTTGATGCCAACTTTGCCACCTGCTGGGTGTGTGACTTTGTGCAAGACACTTGGCTGCGCGGAGCACTGGTTTTCTTTGTGCAAAATGGAGATCATTTATGCTTAAATGCGTAGGGTTGTTGAGAAAAGTAGCGAAGGGGAAGAATGTGGAAGTACTGTGCAATATTGTGTACATGTAAAGTGTTCATACTTGTCGATGTTCATGCCCATTTATTCAGTCAACCAACCAACATTTATTGAGTACGTGTTAGAGTCCAATCTCTATGCTCAAAACAGAGGTGAAAGAGAGCCACAGAGCCTGTTCTGAAGTGGTTCACAGTCCAGTGAGAGAGGCAAACACAAACATTTACTAAAATGCCGTGTGGTGAGTACAATAATGGAAATACAAGCTCACTGGTAGCAAAGGAGAAGTCCCCAATGCTGCTGGTCTTCTCAAATTGCAGGGTTTTTTTTTTTAATTTTATTTTATTTCAATTCAATGAATTAACATAGAGTATATTATTAGTTTCAGAGGTAGAGGTCAGTGATCCATCAGTTGCATATGACACCCAGTGCCCATCCCATCACGTGTTCTCCTTCATGTCCATCACCCAGTTATCCCCAGCCCCCCTCAAACTGCAGTTTAAACCATGACTGGGACTCATCTTACTTGATCATTGCCCTTGTTATCTGTTATATTTTACCGGGAAAATGCCGGGCTCACCGTCTGAACTCTTGCTCTCTGACCTCAGTGGAAAGCTGTGAACGCTGCTGCCTGTGACCTTGCCAGGGAAGTGGCTGGCAAGGGTGATGCTCTGGTAGCTGGGGGGATCTGCCAGACATCAGTGTACAAACACCACAAGGATGAAGCCACAGTTAAAAAACTCTTTCAACTCCAGCTAGAGGTTTTTACAAAGAAAAATGTGGACTTCTTGATCGCAGAGGTAAGCCTAGTATTTTAGGGGAGGGAGTCATTCTCTTCGGACAAATCCCACTACATAATCTTCAGCTTTCACGAGGGTATTTGGGATTGCTTTGTGCCCTGATTTCCTCAGGGTACAGGGTCAGAGGTTTATGTACCCTCACTGCCGTCAAGGCAACAATGCTCTCACTTGCATGCTGGGTTTTAGTGAAGCCAAAGGGCAGAGCCAGGAGTGGCCCGACCCTAGCCTTGGTTGTCTTTGGGTGGTTGTAGCAGCCGACTCACAGGGGACCCTACAATGCTGGGTGAGAAGGGGACGGTGCTTCAGGGAGCAACCTCTCCTGTGGGAGGGGCAGGGCTGGAAGGAGCTGTGTGGGAGCTGGAGGCTGTGAGTGAGCAAAGCTCAGGCTCATGCAGGCCCCGCTAATAATACTCAGTAACAAGAAGTTTCCTTGCCCTCTGCTGTCCATGCTCTGCTCACTCCCAACCCCCTGCTTTCACTCAAGCTATAAAAGGTGAGTGATATTTTGAAGAAAGAGTAAGAATTGGTCGTTGATTGGACACGAAGGCCCAGAACATTCTCTTCCTTCCACTTCCAAAAATTTAAAAGCCCTCATTCCCCATTTCCCACCTTTGCTACCACCTGGAGTCAAGCTCTCAGCCCAAGTCTCTACACCCAACGAGGACAATAGCCTCCCCGCTGCTGTTTCCCTTATCACTCTCTGAATCTATTGAAAAGCTTGCTTCATCAACCTTCCCAAGGTTCAGGGCCACCCAAGCCTGGCAGACGCACTTAGCAACAATCATCTGCAGAGATGGGCACAGACTCTACCCGATAGGCTCTCCAGACAGATGGAACACAAGTTTGTTTTATAAGAACCTCTCTGTGGACGCTCTGCCATTCTTCACACACTGCTTCTGCAGAATCTAAGTCAAGAAGGAAGAACACAGGGAGATTTTTGCTGGCTTTTCTTCATTTACTTAAGGTCAGCTTTTCAATTGTGGCCCTTAAGGGGGTTGCTGGGAAGATTGCTGCAAATGAAAGAAACTGAGTAGCTCTTCCCCACCCCAGCTCTGTGTCGCAGCGGTCTCATTGGGGGAAACCATCATATTTCTCCTACTTCATGGAGCACTTCTGAACATCTAACGAGAAGTGAATATAAAATCACTTTGAGGGCTCCTGGGTGGCTCAGTTGGTTAAGCGACTGCCTTCGGCTCAGATCATGATCCTGGAGTCCTGTGATCGAGTCCCACATCGGGCTCCCTGCTCGGCAGGGAGCCTGCTTCTCCCTCTGACCCTCCCCCCTCTCATGCTCTATCTCATTCTCTCTCTCAAATAAATAAATAAAATCTTTAAAAAAAAATCACTTTGAAGTAGAAAGTATAATAAACTATTCATTATTTTTCAGAGATTACCCCAGCTCCATAAAAGATGAGCCTAAAATTTATTAGTAAGGGGCGCCTGGGTGGCTCAGTCGGTTAAGTGTCCAATTCAGTTTCCACTCGGGTTGTGATCTCAGAGTCGTGAGATCCAGCCCCACATCGGGTTACACTCTCAGTGGAGAGTGTGCTTGGGATTCTCTCTCTCTCTTGCCCTTTATCCCTCCCCCTACTCACGTGTGCTCTCTCTCTCAAATAAATAAATCTTCTTTTTTTTTAAAGATTTTATTTATTTATTTGAGAGAGAGAGAGAGAATGAGAGACAGAGAGCATGAGAGGGAGGAGGGTCAGAGGGAGAAGCAGACTCCCTGCTGAGCAGGGAGCCCGATGCGGGACTCGATCCCGGGACTCCAGGATCATGACCCGAGCCGAAGGCAGTCGCTCAACCAACTGAGCCACCCAGGCGCCCTCAAATAAATAAGTCTTTAAAAAAAATAAAATTTATTAGTAAAACTTTCATTCCTGGGGCACCTAGGTGGCTCAGTAGGTTAAGCGTCTGCCTTCAGCTCAGGTCACGATCCCAGAGTCCTGGGATCGAACAGTCATCATCCTGCTGAATCGATGATTTCTGAATGAAAATCTATATATTATTGTTAAAGGAATTAAAATGTTTACTCAAAAAAGTATTCTTTAGTTTGCTAAAGACCTGTTCCTCAGCAAGTTTTACCACATATACTTGGTCATTTTTATAACTGTTCTGTAACATTTGCATTCCACCTTTCAAAATCTGCTTTACATTTGGACCAATAGAAAAAAATGAAATCTCTCTTAGTATTTTGAGCATGCCGAAGAAGCCATATGGGCTGTGGAAGTCTTAAAAGAATCGGGGAAACCTCTGGCAGCTACCATGTGCATAGGCCCGGATGGAGACATGTGTGGTGTGACACCTGGAGAATGTGCTGTTAAGCTGGTGAAGGCAGGTAATTGGGACCCATAATGTGATCAGCAGTTCGGCTATTGTTTATGAAATTTAACAAAGATTGCTTAATCTTGTGAGAGCAGTTCAGCAATAGAAGAATTAACTGGCATTGGTTTTCCTCGTGGTAAAACTTGGGAGGTGGAGAAGGATAACTAATCTCTAAGGCAATTTCCAACTATTAAAAAATAAAATAAGCAAAATGTAAAAGTTCTTTATTTCTTTGCCCAGGGGCTGCAATCGTGGGTGTGAACTGCCGCTTTGGGCCCAGCACCAGCTTGAAGACAATGAGGCTCATGAAGGAGGGCCTACAGGCCGCGGGGTTGAAGGCGCACCTGATGGTGCAGTCCCTGGGCTTCCACACCCCTGACTGTGGCAAAGGCGGGTTTGTGGATCTCCCAGAATATCCCTTTGGTAAGCTCAGGGTGTAGGAGCAGGCTTCGCGTTTTCTTATGCTGACAACATGGAAACGGCTGTAATGAACAGCTACGGTGCGGTCTTAGAAAAGGAGACTGCGTAAGACAAAACCAGTCAATGTTAATGAAAAAATGAGTATAATCTAAAGTTCATCATGTTTGAATTTTAAAAAGTGCTCCATCGGAGCACCTATGATTTGAATGTAGGGACGGTAACAGAAATGCTGTGATTATTGCGTTGCAGGACTGGAGCCCAGAGTTGCAACCAGATGGGATATTCAGAAATATGCCAGAGAGGCCTACAATCTGGGGATCAGGTACATTGGCGGGTGCTGTGGATTTGAGGCCTACCACATCAGGGCAATTGCAGAGGAGCTGGCCCCCGAAAGGGGCTTTTTGCCCCCGGCTTCAGACAAACATGGTAGTTGGGGAAGTAGCCTTAATATGCACACCAAACCGTGGATTCGAGCCAGGTAGGAACTGTTTAATTAACATTACTATTTTTCTCTAATCTCATTTTATTTATTGTTAGAAACACTATGCATGCAATAAAAATTCAAAAAGTATAGAGTATGTAAGATTAAAACCAAAAGCTGCTCCTCTCCTCAGGGGCATTACCCAGAGGTAATGACCTGTTTGCTGCTTGTGTTTTGAAGTCTTATACCTAATGTCTGGTTTTATCAATTTTAAGCTGTAATGACTGCTAACCCTTTACAAAGGCTGAGGCGTTTAAATCACATAACATTCCCCTTTTCTCCCTGTTCTACTTTTCCCAATTTTGATTTATTACATTTTTATTTCTTCTGTTGGTTATCTTTGTAAGTTGGAATTTTCTATTTAACTGCCTATTTCTTTATCCATTGATGTAAAGCAGTATCTTTTACTTCCACTCTGTAAAATAAGAATTAACTTTCTGCTCCTCTCTACTCTTCCTCCCTCATCTACCTCTTGACTTCTTTAAGTTATACCATTACTTTTACATGATCAAGGTTTAGAACCATTGTGTTCTGCTCTGTAATTATAATTAAGTCTTTCAAGCTTTGTAGATTTATTATAAAAATGTAAAGTTAGTAAATAACATTTGTAATATTATTATAATTGTCATTTTAAACAAACAGGATTCATGAAATATAATAATCAGAATGCAACTTTATTTTTGTCTCCCTCTGTCTCTTTAAACCTGCTCATTGGATGAAGTCTATCCTCTCTCCCTATTTGAAAATACTGACATGCCCCAGGACTTCGCTGGGTCGTCTTAGGGAATAGAAAGCTCCATGACCACTTTATTTAGCAAACACAGTCTTAACTCAGGAATTAAAAGTGTTCAGTTCCAGAGACACCTGTGTGGCTCAGTCAGTTAAGTGTCCGATTCTTGATCTCAGCTCAGGTCTTGATCTCAGGGTTTGGAGTTCAAGCCCTGCATTGGGCTCCAACACTGGGCATGGAGCCTGATTTAAAAAAAAAAAAAAAAAAAAAGTGTTAAGTTCCATGTAAAATCAAAATCTGGAACACATGAAACTTATATTTTCTCTGGTTTTCCAGCAGTTGCCTTAAATAGGCAGGCAACGAGGGAAGGCCAGGCTAATCCTTCTCTTTCTCTGTCTTATGCTTCCAGCCCTCCCTTCCTATTTTGCTAACCAGGACTTCTGACCTCTTCAGATTCAAAGGGAGAGAAGAGAGGATGGCAAGGGGAGCCAACTGTTTGTACTTGGCTGGCAGCCTAACAGGAAGACCGCAGTTCTGGGCCGGGCAGATCTTCACAAGTGCTGCCATGGTTCCTTACTGGCTTCCTCTGGGAACTTTTGGTCTGTACTTCTCATGCCACAGGCATCGCATTCTTCTCTGTCTGCTACTTCCCTTTCAGATCCTGGCTTTTTCAGCAGGTCACTCCAGATATCCCCTATTTGGGGGGTCTTGTTGTCCTTCCTGGTGATTCTAAATACCTCCAGATTTCAAACACGTCTTTTTCTGAAACGTGGTATGAAACCCAATGATTGCTTTTATTTTTTTAAGATTTTATTTATTTATTTGACACAGAGAGAGGGGACGGGGAGGGGGAGAGAGAGAGAGAGACCACAAGCAGAGGGAGCGGCAGGCAGAGGGAGAGAGAGCAGCAGACTCCTGCAGAGCAAGGAGTCCCGTGTGGGGCTGGATCCCAGGACCCTGGGATCATGACCTGAGCCAAAGGCAGACGCTTAACCGACTGAGCCACCCAGGAGCCCCCAGTGATTGCTTTTGATAGAAATGTGAGAAAGGCATTAATGGACATAGTTTTTCAGTCTGTATGTTGAAACTGAAGTTCTACTTTAGCTTGATCATGCACCACACCTGTGTGTATTTGGCAAATACACACACAAATATGTATAAAGCATATTGGACTTATAAAACAGGTATACATTTTTTAATTAATAATTTTTTCAAACACAGAGCTAGAAGGGAGTATTGGGAAAATCTGCTGCCAGCTTCAGGCAGACCTTTCTGTCCTTCACTGTCACAGCCAGACGCCTAAGGAGCGGTGAAAGAAAACACTGAAATGACAGAACAGAAAGAAATCTGGAACTCTTCCTCGCCTTTACCCTCCACCCACCCTGCTAGCTCCAGCTGAACAGCTAATGTGCTCCTGGCCCTTCAGTTCAGGGCAACATATGCATCTTGCACTCCCGCTGTGGATGAGCACCCAGCTGGGTGCTGCAGGGGATGCAAAGACGATGAGAAAGACCCTGGTCCCCCAGTTACTTACTGTCCAGTAATGATGTGCTACATTCTTTGGAAGGTCATCAAGAAGAGCAAAACTTGTCTTTTAGGGTGAATTTGAGATTTTAAAATAACCAGAAGTCACTGAACACCAAATCTATTGATTAACTCAGGCAACTAAGCTAGGTGCTTGAGGAAGATGGAGGAGCAAGGAGTCTGCTTTTCTTACATGACTTGTATAATGACTCCAAGGGCAATCCCAAAGGAATAGATGCAAAAAATGCTTTGAGTAATGGCAGGGTTATTGAAGTAAGTGTATAACCTTCCAAAGTGATTACTTTCAAAGATGAGTTTACTTAAAGGTGTTAGGTCCTAGAATTTTTAAAATGTGTCTTTATGAAGGGCACCTGGGTGGCTCAGTCAGCTAAACATCCGACTCTTGATTCCCACTCAGGTCATGATCTCAGGCTTGTGAGATCGAGGCCTGAGTCCAGCCCAGCATTGAGCCCTGCATCTGCACTTGGTATGGAGCCTGCTTGGCATTCTCTCTCTCTCTCTCCCTCTGCCCCTCCTCCCCCAATAAAAAACATAAATTAAAAAAACTGTGTCTTTATAATCACAAATAACTAGATTATAAACTACTTAAGGACAAGGACAATGTGATGTTCTTATATTTTTCCTTAAAGTATTTAGCACTGTGCTGGGCCTAATAATAGATGCTCTAGATGCTCAATGAAATACTTATTTTTGATTGTTAAAATAAGTAAAAATAGATGAACAGTTTTAGAAGACCTTTTTAAAAGTCAGAGTTCTAATCTACCATGGTCTAATATTTTCTTTACTTAGCTTTGTGCTATTTGCCATGTGCCAATATCACTCTGTTTTTTCCAAAACAATGTATCGATTTGTGACAATTTGTAAAATTAAAGATGATTTACCTGTTACAGTGTTTGAATATTTAAAATATCATGGATATTCTTTGGAAGATAACAGCAAACATTTATTACTTATTATGTTCCAGGCTATTGCTTCTCTCCTGTTCTCACACTCTATCCTTTCATCCATCCATCCATCCATTCATCCATCCATCTATCTATTCACACTCAATTGTCCCTTACAGGGATTAAAATATGAGAGTGTTTTTAACACAGTAGTTTAAATGTGAGGAACCTAAGGCTAAATTAACTTGCCTGAGGTCCACAGTTAGTAAATGGTAGAACTGGAATTTGAACCCACATGGTCTGGCTCCAGAATCCATGTTCACAACCACTACACTGCACAACCTCTCTCATATACACAGCTGCTGCTTTTATCAGACTCAGTCCAAATTTTTTTGTTGTGGAGTTTCATGGATTTTTATTAGCTTTGCTTAATATGAATCAGCCCTTCAATCCTGTTTCTGTGAAGTAGATAACCTGGAACTCATTAAATGTTACCACTTACCCATAATACGTAATCCCACCATGCTGGAAATTAAAGGGTAAATCATTTACCATCATCCCAAGGCCTTGGGGGTCCTTGAGGATGACTAATACAAATCACTAAGCCTGAGTATCTTTGCCAGCATCCTCAACCAGGGCCATCCAGCCTCTGTTTGGACCTTTCCAGTAGCAACTCACTACCTTGCAAGATCACATATTCTTTTCTAAGACATATTTCATTCTTTGAAAGTTATTGCATACGTTAACCAGGAATCTACTTATCAACAACTTTTGCCTATTTGTCCACATATTAGTCTCTGGGCACCCATAGAAAAAATGTATAGTTTCTTCCATATGATAGCTCTTCAAAAATTTAAAGGCAGATGTCATGCTTCCCTATACTTCCTCTTCCTCATTTCCCCCAACCAAAGACATAGACTTTTAAGATGTGCCTTGCCGTAGTAGCACCATGAACTGGACAATTAACTTTTCCATCTTAATTTTCTCATCTCTTAAATGAGGATAACAATAGAACCATCTTCATTGGATTACTATGAGGATTAAGTGAAATAACCAGATACTTAGGCAGAGTGTCTGACATATAGTAGGCACGCAGTGTACAGAATATAGTGTAATAGAATTAAGTGACTTGGTTCCCAATCACCTCATCCTCGTGATGACTCTCCTCTGGCCACACTCCAGCATCAAAGTCTCTGCTTAAGTTTAGTACCTGGTCTTGAACCTCACACTCCAGGAGTGGATGCTCGCACAACAGCTTGATAGATGAAATAAGTAAATGAATAAATCTTTAAAAAAATCTTTATATATTAAAGTCATTGTTTTCTACATATACTTTACAAGTATTCTGAAAGTATAGTGGAAGTAAAGATCTCTTTTGCATTTTCAGCAAAATGATTAAGTATCTATGGAAAAAATTAACAAGAAATGTACAAGAGCTGTTTAAGAGAATTTGAGGATGCTACTCTAGGGTACAGAATAAGACGAATAAATCTACGTGTGCTTATAAAGAGAAAGACACAATCTTGTAAGATGCTAAGTTATTCTAAATTGATTAATAAATGTAATATAATCCCAGTGAAAAATATCATGAGGATGGAGGGGATATAGACATGCAACTCTTTGGTTCATATCAGGAGAAAAACCATAATGGTTATGGGAAAATTAGAAAAAGAGAGGTAGTCAGGAGGATGTAGCCTTGCCCAAAAATCACTATATGTAACATAGCTGGAGTGATTAAAGCCACCGAATATGTGCATTAAAAAAAAAAAAGAAGGATCAATAGAAGTTAATGTATGATAAAGGGGGCATTTCAGGTCAGTGAGGAAAAGCTGGGTTGTTTAATAATGATGGACATTTGGTCAATCATATGGAAAGAAAAAGTTAGATCTCTTAGAACGAGTTCAAGGTTGATCAAAGTTTTAAACATAAACACATAAAAGAAAAGCCATAAGAGAAAAAACATAAATTTTACCATACAAAAAATTTAAATGTCTGCACAAAACTCAAAAGATTCTAAACAAAGGTAAAGTCCAGTGGGAATAATGTGTAACAGGGTTAGTAACTGCTGTTCCAGGACGGGGGTCTTGAGCTGTCTTAGTTCAACTCTCTTCCCATCTACGCAGATGTTATGAGGGTGGGGCTCACCTATGAGACTGGCAATCAGAACTCCATTCCACCGCATTCTCTTGGGCTTCCAAGTGTTCTGGGAGGGAGCTGAATGCAGCTGGGGACCAAGCAAAGCCTTGGAGTCAGCACTGGCAGCGTCGGCACTCTTTGACAATCACTATTCCACTGTAAGCTGTGATGCTGGGAGTCAGAGGCGCCAGGAAGCGCAGTGCCCCTGGTAGAGATGATGTGAGCTTCCAGGCACTGACAGAGACTTCAGGCAGCTTCCAGGCATTGACACATTATCCCTTAATGTGGTACCTGCCAGGCCAAATGTGACTCTTCCCTTCCCAGGGAAACAGATCGTTTCCCTTCTTGGGCAACTTCTGGGGATCAGTTCCCAGCTCCTGCACCCCGCACATACACATCATATTGCCTTCTCCCCATTTCCCTCAATGCCCACAACCTTTTAAGGTTTTCCCAGAGAAACCCTCTTTTCCTGTTGCTCTATGGGTTATAATAGGACTTTAGACCAAAATCAATAGAAAAATGAGGCCCACTTTCCTAAAAGGCATGTTTATTGGAGGTGGGGGAAATATTTGCCTTAGAGCTTTGCAGTGTAGGGAAAAGGGAGGGATAAAAGATTTACAGATTAAAGCAATCTGAATGCTCATATCCTGTCACAAATACTGCATACATTTGAGAAAATAAGAGAGGCTTTCCTTACCCTATAGATTAGGAAATCTATTTCCTTAACCTATGAAGGGTAGGAAAAGATGTGCAACACATTCAAAATTAGGTAAGTACATGTCAAAATAATGAAATCTCTTTTTTCACCTATCACTGATAAAAACCAAAAAATTGGTAATACCTTATGGTAATAAGGATCTAGGGGAAAAGACGCTATCACACATAGGCTTTATGTAGAAGTATAAACTGGTACTATTTGAAAAGAAATTAGGCCATGGCTATCAAAATTTAGAATTCACATGCTCTTAAATTAGCAGTGTCATTTCCAGGAATGTAACCTATATTTATCTTCATATTTGTGCAAAAGTACATATCTGGAAATTACAAAAATATCCATAATGAAACATTAGTTAAGTGAATTAAGGAACATCTACAGGATGATGAACCATGGAGCAATTAAGAAGAATACATTAGGTCAACATGTACCAAAATGGAAGGACCTCCTAGATATGCTGTTAAATGAAACTGTGCTCCTACTCTGTTTGTGTAGAATATTTCCAGGAGGAATGCCTCCTTCCCATGAAAAGAAGACTAGTGACTAAAACTGTTGCCGGGTGAACTCGGGAGACCCCAGGCCCCGAGGCCTTGACTCAACCCATCCCAAAGAAGTCACCAAAGGTTCTTGGTCTCATCACAAGAAAGAATTCAAGGACAGACACACAACACAAGCAGGAAAGTTTATGAAAGCAAAAGTACATTCTCTGAGCGAATATGAGAGCCAGTGAACTCAAGAGAGACAGAGCTGCTGACCTGGGGTTTGGGTTTCTATCTTTTATTGAAAATCTTTAACTAGGGGTTGCAATATTCATTACTTGGAGCAGGGATTTCTTGGAAGCAGGTTTTTCATGCCTTTTCTTCCTTACTTGGTCAGGGGTTTCCTGTCACGGCACCTGCCATGTTGGGCCTGTCTGGTTTGATCTGGCTTCTTGTGGAGTGCTACCATGACAGGCCTCTGACTTTCCCAATAGCTGCCCATGACTTCCTCTATGCTGGCCTGTGGGTATCCTGTTAGAACCTAATTAATTGCCTACCTTAACAAAACTATGGTATAGTAGGAAGACTTCTTTTTCTCTGATACCTTTTTTAGTGTCTTAATGTGGGTAGCTATTATTTTTTCAATAAAATTATTTTTAAAACTTATACCAAGAGTGCTAATTGCAAGAGGAGAAATCATCAGATCATGAGTTCCTTGTTGTGACACAGTATTAGAAACACTGCATCATCAATGATATATACCAGCCAAAAGTACCTGAGTGGAATATAATCCAATTTAGAGGAAACACAAGTGATACAGGAATAAGGAAAACAATACCACAAGGAAGCAATCAGGAGAATCATATATTCTATAGGAAAGCTGCTCTGGTCTATTCCACAAGTCAGTACCTTGAGACTGCTCATCTATATATAAGAAACCAATGCGGGGCACCTGGGTGGCTCAGTTGGTTGAGCCTCTGACTCCTGGTTTTGGCTCAGGTTGTGATCTTGTGATCTCGGATCCTGAGATGGAGCCCTGTCTCCAGCCCCATCAGATGTGGCAGGCTCCACGCTCAGTGGGGAGTCTTCTTGTCCCTCTCCCTCCCCCTACTTGCTCTCTCTCTCACAAATAAATAAATAAAATCATAAAAAAAAAAAAAAAAAGAAAGAAAGAAACCAATGCAATACATAGTCCTGAATTGGATCCTAGTTTTGACAAACCTGCCATAAAAGACCTTTTGGGTACAAACTGGGAACATTTGGATACAGATTGGGTATTAAGGAATCAAAATTAATTTTGACCACATAGGAAAATGTCCTTGCTCTTTAGAGATGCATATGAATTTTTTAACGCATACTAAAATGTTAAATTACTGTTTAAAATTTCCTTTAAATATTTCAACATATAAAAATGAGGGTTTTCTTAAAAAGCAAAATTTCTACAGGTTCTGATTTGGCAGGGGGAATTAAGAACAGGGCAATCCTCAAAAGTTAAGACTGCTCAGTGAAACTAAGAAAAACTGGCTCAAACCAGCTCTTTCCAGTTTCACAGCAGATGTTTACTGTACTAGGGAGTTACCTAGAAGAGTAGATGGCCCCCTGATAAACCCTGCTGTGCTGTGTGTAGAATCAACAGTGCACACCAGCAAATAGCTGTAAGGGATGGAAGAGATGCGCGGAATCTAAGGGGTGA